TTCACACTTAAAGTAATTATTGATAAGGAAGGGCTTACTGTTGCAATTTTGTTAATTGTTTTCAATATGTCTTAGGGTTGTTTGTCCCTCTTTTCCTCTCTTGCTGCCTTTTGTGTTTCATTGATTTTTTTTTTTTTTGTAGTGGTATGCTTTGAGGCCTTTCTTATTTTCTTTGGTATGTCTTCTATAGCAATTTTCTCTGTATAAAACATTTTATAGCTGTAACTATTTATTTAAACTAAAAATTTAATTCAATTGCATACAAAACCTCTACTCTTTTACCTCCAATTCACCTTACATTATCAATGTCACAAATTATACTTTTAATATTTTGTATCCATTAATATAATTTAATAATTATGGTTATTTTATGCTTTTATTTATACCTGATTTAAAAGTGATTTATGGACCACTATTGTAGTATGACAAGATTCTGCTTTTTTTTTTTTTTTGACAGAGTCTCACTCTGTCGCTCAGGCTGGAGTGCAGTGGTGCAATCTCAGCTCACTGCAAACTCTGCCTCCTGGGTTCACGCCATTCTCCTGTCTCAGCCTCCTGAGTAGCTGGGACTACAGGAACCCGCCACTATGCCCTGCTACTTTTTTTTTTTTTTTGTATTTTTACTAAAGACGGGGTTTCACCATGTTAGCCAGAGTGGTCTCGATCTCGTGATCTGCCTGCCTTGGCCTCCCAAAGTGTGGGATTACAGGCATGAGCCACCACGCCCAGCCTAGATTCTGCATTTGACTATATGTTTACCTTTACCAGAACCTTATACTTTTGTATGCTTTCAAGTTGGTATCTAGCTTTCTTTTATTTCAACTTGAAGTACTACTATTAGTAATTCTAGCAAGGCAGGTTAATGGTGATGAACTTCTTCAGCTTTTGTTTATCTGGGAAGGTCTTTATTTCTCCTTCATTTTTGAAGGGCAGATTTGCTCTGTATTCTTAGTTGGCAATTTTCTTTCTCTTTCAGCCCTTTGAATATACTACCCCATTCCCTTTCAGTCTGGAATGTTCCTGCTGATGAGTTTGCTGATAATCTTATGAGAGTTCTCTTGTATATAAGTCACTTTTCTCTTGCTGCTTTCAAGATTCTCTGTCTTTGACTTTTGACTGATTATAATGTGTCATGGTGTTGGATCTTTAGGTTCATCTTAGATAGAGTCCTTCAAGCTTCTGAAATTTGGTTGTCAGTTTCCTTTTTCAGATTTGGGAAGTTTTCAGCCATTTCTCAAGTAAGCTCTCTGCCACAGGCTACTCTTCCTCATGCAGTCTGTGGACTCAGTTGTCATCTGCCACCACTGTCTACTTACCTTTCAACTGCCACAAATGGATTCCAAAGAAATCTCCAAAAGAAACTGTTACTATGACAAGATGGCCAACTAGACACAACCAGGAAGCTCTGCTCCCACTGAGAGAGACCAAAATATTGAGTACACCAACATATTTTGAGCCCATCTTCCGAGAGAAAATACTGAGAGTCATTAAAGAGGTGATACAGACAACAAGGCTGAAGAGGGAGGAAGCTGGGAACCCTGCACAGGATACTTGCATGACAGGGCTAGTTCCCAGACCTGAATGTCTCCTGGGGAAGGGATAAGTGAAGGGATGGAGGGACAGGCCACTCTCACTGTGGACCTCTGGGATCCTAGGTACATAGAACTTCACATTCTCCATGGACATATGAGCTGCCAGGGGGATCTTCAAAGAGAGTAGGCAGAGACAGGGCTTCACTGGCACGGAGTCCAGGAGCTTTTGTACATGTGGCAGCTGTGGCAGAGCATGGCCTAGACACCCATCCCCTATGGCTCCCCATCTCCATATAAGCAACTCTAGCCTCAGCTGATTGCTGGCCCAGGAGAGAGTGTGGCTGGCTTCCTTGTGGGACTGGGAAACTTTTTTTTGTTGACCCTCCTGCCCACCAGCAGGACCCCTGCCTGGCCACCCTGTAGGAGGTGTGCACAGAGTAGCCTCTGCTGCCAAGCCTGGGTGCTTTGCTTTGCCTGAGTACCTTCCTGGTGGCCCGGGAGCACTTTGGATCCCCCAGAACAGCTAGGACCCAATCTCAAGGGTCTGGAGGATGAAGCTGAAATCAGTCCTAGCCCCCCAAAAACTACACAAATACATGGAAATTGAACAACTTACTCCAGAATAACGCCTCAGTGAACAATAAAATGAAGGAAGAAATTAAAAAATTCCTTGAAATAAATGAAAATAGGGACACAGCTTACCAAAATCTCTGGGACACAGCTAGAGCAGTATTAAGAGGCAAGTTTCTAGCACTAAGCACCTTCAGCAAGAAATTAGAAAGGTCTCAAATTAACAATGTACCTTTGCATCTAGAGGAACTAGAAAAAAAACAAGCCAACCCCAAAGCAAGCAGAAGATACTAAATATCTAAAATTAGAGAACTGAATGAAATTTAGACACAAAAATCCATACAAAAGATCAATGAAGCAAAGAGTTTTTTCTTCAAAAGAATAAACAATATTGGCAAGGTGCAGTGGCTCACGCCTGTAATCCCAGCACTTTGGGAGGCCGAGACAGCATCGAGACCATCCTGGCTAACACGGTGAAACCCCTTCTCTACTAAAAATACAAAAAAAAATTTGCCGGGCGTGGTGGTGGGCGCCTGTAGTCCCAGCTACTCGGGAGGCTGAGGCAGAAGAATGGCATGAACCCAGGAGGCGGAGCTTGCAGTGAGCTGAGATCACAGCACTACACTCCAGCCTGGGTGACAGAGGGAGACTCCATCTCAAAAACAAAACAAAAACAAAACGAATAAACAAGATCAATAGACCACTAGCTATATTAATCAAGAAAAAAAGAGAAGATCTAGATAAATATAATCAGAAATGATAAAGAAGACATTGCAACTGGTCCCACAAAAACACAAAAGATCCTCAGAGACTGTTACGAAGAGCTCTATGTACACAAATTAAGAAAACCTAGAGAAAATGGATAAATTCCTGGAAACACACAAACTCCCAATATTGAACCAGAAAGAAACTGAAAACTTGAACAGACCAATAAGTTCCAAAATTGTATCAGTATTAAAGAAACTGCCAACCATAAAAGAAAAAAAAAAGAAAAAGAAAAAAAAAGCCCTGGACCAGATGGATTCACAGACAAATTCTCTCAGAAATAAAAAGAAGAACTCAGACAAAAAAAGAATACCAATCATATTGAAACTATTCAAAAAAATTGAAAAGGAAGGATACCTCTCTAACTTATCCTACAAAGCCAGAATCAGTCTGATACCAAAATCTGGCAGAGACACAACAAAAAAAGAAAACTTCAGGCCAATATACCTAATGAACATAGGTGCAAAAATTCTCAACCCAATACTAGCAAACTGAATCCAGCAGCACATCAAAAAGTTAATTTACCACAATAAGGCAGGCTTTACTCCTGGGATGCAAGGCTGGTTGAACATATGCAAATCAATAAATGTGATCCACTACAGTAACAGAATTAAAAGCAAAACCATATGATCATCTCAGTAGGTGCAAAAAAAGCTTTCAACAAAATCCAACATCCCTTCATGATAAAAGCCTCAACAAACTAGGCATCTAAGGTACATACCTCAAAATAATAAGAGCCATCTATACCAAACCCATCATACTGACTGGGCAAAAGCCAGAAGCATTCCCCCTAAGAACAAAAACAAGACAATGACGCCTACTCTCACTGCTATTATTCAATGTAGTACTAGCAATCCTAGTCAGAGCAATTAGGCAAGAGGAAGAAATAAAAGACATCCGTGGCTGGGCATGGTGGCTCATGCCTATAATCCCAACACTTTGAAAGGTCAAGGCGGGCAGATCATGAGGTCAGGAGATCGAGACCACCCTGGCTAACACGGTGAAACCCTGTCTCTACTAAAAATACAAAAACAAAAAACAAACAAACAGAAAAGACGCCACATAGTAAAAGAAGAGGTCAAATTGTCTCTCTTCACTGACAGTACGATTTTATCTTTTTTTTTGAAACTGAGTCTCCCTCTGTTGCCCAGGCTGGAGTACACTGGCACCATTTCACCTCACTGTAGCCTCTGCCTCCTGGGTTCAAGTGATTCACCTGCCTCAGCCTCCAGAGTAGCTAGGATTACAAGCATTCACCACCATGCCTAGCTAATTTTTGTATTTTTTAGTAGAGATGGGGTTTCACCACGTTGGCCAGGCTGGTCTTGAACTCCTGACCTCAAGTGATCTGCCCGCCTTGGCCTACCAAAGTGCTGAGATTACAGGTGTAAGCCACCATGCTTGGCCACTGATAATATGATTCTATATCTAGAAAACCCTAAAGACTCTGCCAAAAGGCCCATCAAACTGCTAAATGACTTCAGGAGTGTTTCAGAATACAAAAATGATGTACAAAAATCAATAGCATTTATATATATAACTGAGTACCTCAGCCTCTAAATACATTTTTAAACTATTTTTTTCCTCTCCTTCCTAATCTCAGAATGTAGCCCTGTGGTGTAAGATTCGTTACGCCCTTTCCCAACAGACATATCTGTGCACAGTGCTTGCCCATCTAACTATGTGCTTGCTTAGAAATTCCAGGAGCCAATTTTGAAGCAAATCAGGCAGAGAGACCCAGCCACAGATCTTCCCACTCAAGGGGAGTTATGCCCAAGTCAGGATGATGCAAATCAGATCTCTAGATGGGCGATGACTTGAGATAACTATGGGAACAAGACATGCAGCTATGCACTCCCTTTTCACTACTCATGTTCATATCCCCATACCTTTTTCCTTCTTAAATCCCTTCACTCAGCCCAGAAGGCTGAGATGGCTCTTTTAAGGCTTATGCCCAGACATTCTCCCATCTGCTAGCATTTGACCAACAAAAGTTGCTTTCCTTTCACCACACCTCAGTTCTCATGCTTTGACTTCTGAGAGGAGAGCAGCTGGATTTGAGCTGGTTACATGTACACCAATAATGTTCAAGCTGAGAGCCAAATCAAGAACACAATCCCATTTACAGTAGCCACACACAAAAATGAAATATCTAGGAATACAGCTAATCAAGAAGGTTAAAGATCTCTACAAACCTGACAACGTTGGTGTTGTCGTGTTTGGAAATGATAAACTAATTAAGGAAGGAGATACAGTGAAGAGGACAGGAGCCATTGTGGATGTTCCAGTTGGTGAGGAGCTGTTGGGTCGTGTAGTTGATGCCGTTGGTAATGCCATTGATGGAAAGGGTCCATTTGGTTCCAAGACCCATAGGCGAGTTGGTCTGAAAGCCCCTGGAATCACTCCTTGAATTTCAGTGCGGGAACCAATGCAGACTGGCATTAAGGCTGTGAATAGCTTGGTGCCAATTGGTCATGATCAGCATGAGCTGATTATTGGTAATGGACAGACTGGGAAAATCTCAATTTCTGTTGACACAATCATTAACCAGAAACGTTTCAATGATGGATCTGATGAAAAGAAGAAGCTGTACTGTATCTATGTTGCTATTGGTCAAAAGAGATCCACTGTTGCCCAGTTGGTGAAGAGACTTACAGATGCAGATGCCATGAAATACACCATTGTGGTGTCAGCTATGGCCTCGGATGCTGCCCCACTTCAGTAACTGGGTCCTTACGCTGACTGTTCCATGGGAGAGTATTTTAGAGACAATGGCAAACATGCTTTGATTATCTATGATGACTTATCCAACCAGGCTGTTGCTTACCATCAGATGTTTCTGTTGCTCTGCCAACCCCCTGGTCATGAGGCCTATCCTGGTGATGTGTTCTACCTACACTCCCGATTGCTGGAGAGAGCAGCCAAGATGAACAATGCTTTTGGTGGTGGCTCCTTGACTGCTTTGTCAGTCATAGAAACACAGGCCGGTGATGTGTCTGCTTACATTCCAAGGAATGTCATTTCTGTCACTAACAGACAGATTTTCTTGGAAGCAGAATTGTTCTACAAAGGTATCCACCCTGCCATTAATGTCGGTCTGTCTGTGTCTCATGTCGGATCTGCTGCCCAAACCAGGGCTATGAAGCAGGTGGCAGGTACCATGAAGCTGGAATTGGCCCAATATTGTGAGGTCACTGCTTTTGCCCAGTTCAGTTCTGACCTCGATGCTGCCACTCAACAACTTTTGAGTTGTGGTGTGTGTCCAACTGAGTTGCTGAAGCAAAGACAGTATACTCCCATGGCTATTGAAGAACAAGTAGCAGTTACCCATGTGAATGTAAGGGGCTATCTTGAGAAACTGGAGCCCAGCAAGATTACAAAATTTGAGAATGCTTTCTTGTCTCATGTTGTCAGCCAGCACCAAGCCCTGTTGGGCACTATCAGGGCTGATAGAAAGATCTCAGAAGAATCAGATGCAAAGCTGAAAGAGATTGTAACAAACTTCTTGGCTGGATTTGAAGCTTAAAATCCTATGGATTCACATCAAATGCCAGTTCAGTTTTGTCATTGTTTATTCTAGTAAATTAGTTTTATTTGTGAAAGGGTTACTCTCATACTCCTTGTGTACAGAAATCACGTGAAAAATAAAGATTCCATAATGTGAAAAAAAAGATCGCTACAAGGAGAACTGCCAATCACTGCTGAAAGAAATCACAGATGACACAAATAAATAAATTTTTTAAAAATTCCATGCTGATGGATTGGAAGAATCCATATTGTTAAAATGGCCATGCTGCCCAAAGCAGTTTAAAGATTTAATGTTATAACCATCAATGTCAGTTTTCACAGAACTAGAAAAAAACTATTCTGAAATTCATATAGAACCAAAAAAAAGTCCGAATAGCTAAAGCAATCCTAAGCAAAAAGAACAAGCCTGGAGGCATCACACTACCCAACTTCAAACTATACTATAAGGCTACAGTAAGCAAAACAGCTTGGTACTGATACCAAAAAGACAGATGAATGGAACAGAATAGATAATCCAGAAGTGGTTCTATACCTATAGCCATCTGCTCTTTGACAAAGCCCACAAAAAATGGGAAAAGGACACCCTATTCAATAAATAGTGCTGGAATAACTAGCTAACCATATGCAGAAGAATGAAACTGGACCCCTACCTTTCATCATATACAAAAATTAACTCAACATGAATTCAAGATTTAAATTTACAACCTCAAACTATAAGAATCCTGGAAGAAAACCTAGGAAAAATAGTATTCTGGACATGAGCCTTGGCAAAGAATTTTTGGCTAAGTCCCCAAAAGCAGTTGCAACAAAACCAAAAACTGAGAAGTGGGACCTAATTAGATTAAAAAGCTTTTCTGCTCATCAAAAGAAACTGTCAGTAGAGTAAACAGACAACCTACATAATAGGAGAAAATATCTGCAAACTATGAATCCAACAAAGGTTTAATATCCAGAACCTATGAGGAACTTAAATCAAGAAAAAACAAACAAACAAATAACCTCATTAAAAAATGGGCAAAGGACATGAACAGATACTTCTCAAAAGAAGACATATAAGCGGCCAACAAATGTATGAAAAAATGTCCAACATCACTAATCATCAGAGCAATGCAAATCAGAACCACAGTAAGATACCATCTCACTCCAGTCAGAATGGCTATTATGAAAAGGTCAAAAAACAACAGATGCTGGTGAGGCTGTGGATAAAAGGAATGCTTATAAACTGTTGAGGGGAATGTGAATTGGTTCAGTCATTGTGGAAAGCAATTGAAGATTTCTCAAAGAACTTAGAACTACCATTTAACCTACCAATCCCATTATTGGGCATATACCCAAGGGAAAATAAATCATTCTACCAAAAAGACACATAGACTTGTATGTTCATAACAGCGTTATTCACAATAGCAGAGACATGGAATTAACCTGGGTACTTATCAACAGTAGATTGAATTTTTAAAATGTAGTACATATACACCACAGAATACTACAGAGCCATAAGAAAGAATGAATTCATGTCCTTTTCAGAATCATGGATACAACTGGGGTCCATAACCCTAAGTAAATTATTATAATATAGGAATGGAAACCCAAATACAGCTTGTTCTCACTTGGAAGGGGAAGCTAAATACTGAGTACACATTGATATAAATATGGTAACACTAGACACTGTGAACTACTAGAAGGGGTGGGAGGGGAGATGGGTTGAAAAACCACCTGTTAGGTAATATGCTCACTACCTGAGTGATGGAATCTATATCCTAAACATCAGCATTACAGCACATACCTGTGTAAAAAATGTGCAGGTATATCCCCTGCATACAAAATAAAAGTCAAAATTATTTTTTTTAAAAAGAAATTGTTGTCATTACAGGAAGTGGTAGATAGTTTGGGTTTCTAGGCTGTTTCTGAATCATAGGGGAGTCCATGTGATTCTGTTTGACATAAGTATCCCTGCTCAAAACATTCTGGAAGGAATCAACTTCATACATGGAGACATCTATCATCTCTCTGAGGTAGAGAAAGCCTTCCAGGATATAAATGTTACTTGTATGTTCCATATTGTCTTTTATGTTATGTCAGGGTGGAAACAATGGAATAAAAAACTGGTTAAAGAAATCAATGTGGCGGGGAGACACAGGCAATGTCCTCCAGGCTTGCAGGAGGATAAGAGTAATAAAATTAGTTTACACTAGTGCTTTTAATGCATATTTGGAGGTGAAATGGTCAGAAATGAAGATGAATCTCTGTATTTCTTAACTCTTCACCTCTATAGCGATCACTACTCTCAGACAAAATTGACTGTGGACAAAAAGATGGTGGAAGTGAATGGTGTTTTTCCTCCCCTACATCCCTAACATCCTGAATCCCTTCCCTTAAGTCTGTGACCACTGGGATACTTGGTCCCACTAGGATAGCTTTTTTCCACTGTGATTCCTCATCTACATGTTCAGTGTTGTCAGAAGAATGATGTTCTTTTCCAGATAGATGAATTACACAGCATTTAAATTTTCCAGATAGATGAATTACACAGCATTTAAATTTATCTTATTTCATTTTTTATGAGAAGTTATAAAATTGGAATAAAAAGCAGAAACAAGGAAAGGGATCTTCTGAAGTATACATTTTATAAGAGCCAAGGAATTAGTACCTGGAAAAATAAACTGTAATATTTAAAATTAGTTTATATATGGAGATAATTATGTTTTTTGCTAACATGCCTATCACCCTACTGATTCTCAATTTGAAATAAGCATTATAAGTTTTATATGTCTGAATATGAAATTTTACAACTTTGACAGAAGAGGCCAGAGAACTAGCTTGCTCTTTTCCCACCATGTAGGAATAAAACAAGAAATCAGCAGTCTGCAGTCAGTAGTTACTGGAACTCAAATATAATGATGCCTTGATCTTGGACTTCCCAGCCACCAGAACTATGAGAAATAAATATTCCTTGTTTAAGCCACCCACTTTATGGTAATTTGTTACATCAGCCTCAACTGATTAAGACAAAAATGCTAAGAAACAGAAGGACCACAAAGTAAAATTCTGTAACTCATTCTGGAGTTTTAGATCTACTACAAAGCTCTAGAATCCAGTAGGTCTTCATGGACTGAATATAGTACCAGCAAGGGGGATGTGGACATGAGCCAGATCCTAACACAAAGGATATTTGCCCTCAGACCTCCTTTATGGTTCCTTCCAGGAGTGTGCAGCCCAGAATGAAGGTTCGATGGAGTGACTGGTGCCACAGGTATGAGCAATCGGCTCATAATTGGGGCAACAGTTTGGAATCTAAGAATCATGATTGTTCTTGTAAATTATACTTATGGACCAAAGAGGCACATTGGGCTCAGAACATAGCAATTTTTCTCCTACGTCTGTCAGCCTGTATATCTTTTACAGGCCAGGTATGTCAAGAGTCTACATGTGAGAGAGGTCTTAAAATCCATACAATATACATTTTGTACACAATTTCAGAATTCATAACAGATTATACTCAAGATACTGTATTTTATCTAGTGTGTTTTTACATTATAATTTCACAGGGTAACAGCTTCTCATTTTCAATGCCAGGTTACTTTTATGTGATAGTCACATTTTGTACCAATCTGGTGTTCAGATTTTATATTGCTTGATATGATTTTTTTTTTAAGTGCATAATCACTTTCTTAAAGTTTCTGTTTAAAAACTTACAGGAAGCATGACACAATATAAATTATATTAGAGATGGAATATTTAATATCCCCTAAAATACCAAATAACTTACCAGTATCCCAGTATTTAAATATACAGTTGATAACTCAAAGTAATTTATGACTGTTTCTTTGTAATCATTTTGATGTCACAGGTTGTTTAAGGCTTAATGATGATTAAGAACATTTAGTGAATTTATGCACACTTTAATGAATTGATTTAACATTTCAGCTGTTTATGTGCAAGGACCCATAAAATTATCAATTTAAATGACTTGAGAATTAAAATATAATAGTTTATTCTTGGAGCATTACTTTTTCTCTCTCCAGTTATTGATCAGGCTACCAAATGCTTTTTTAAAAAAATCTGTGTTTTAAATATTTTTATGTATTTACTTATTTTGAGATGGAGTTTCACTCTTGTCGCCCAGGCTGAAGTGCAATGGCATGGTCTTGGCTCACTGCAACCTGCGCCTCCCGGGTTCAAGTGATTCTCCTTTGTGAGCCTCCTGAGTAGCTGGGATTACAGGCACCCGCCACCACACCTGACTAATTATTGTATTTTCAGTAGAGATGGGGTTGCAACATGTTGGCCAGGCTGGTTTCAAACTCCTGACCTCAGGTGATCCACCTGCCTTGGCCTCCCAAAGTGCAGGGATTACGGGCATGAGCCACCACGCCGGCCTAAATATTTTTACATGAGATTGTGGATGATAATCTCATTTTGGGTAGATTTTGTATTTTGGGTAGATTTGTATTATGGGTAAACTTTTATCAGTGATCCTGATTTTAAAAGAAGAAAATAATTTTTTTTCTGGTTATGATTAGCATTTTTCATTAATTACCAGCTTTAGTTAAGGTAGCTTCATTTAATTCATACATTTTATTTGTTAATGCATGGTGCAATTAAAACAATAGTTACAATGTCATGAAGGACCTGTGCCAAGAATCAGATGGCACCACATAGCCATCATTACCTATGACAATGCTACTTTTAAATTCTCATTTTTTTAATGAGACTATTGAGGCTCCGAGATGTTAAGTAACTTTCCCAAGAATACAGAGCTAGTCGATTCAGATTTATAAGGCCACAAAGCCTGGGTTCTCAGTTACTACTCTGCTCACTGGAACTTGTGGGAGCAAATTCTAATAAACTTACAGCTCTTCTTCCCCAAAAGATCTTAGCTCGGAGAGGAAGGAGACCTCTATACTGCAGAGCTAAGGTTTTAAGTAGGTCGTGCTTGACTTCCGGGGCATGTGACATGTGAATACAACTGGTTTTATGATGGTAAAATCATCAGCACTTCCATGGAGCATCTTGTGTTTCTCAGGGCATGGGAACCAACCATCTACAGCATAAGGTAAATTTTTAACTCATAAGTCAATGAGACTGTTATTGCTACGGCTATCACCATATTATCTGGCAGGTAATTCTTATTGAAATATCATAA